AAAAAAAAAAAAAAAAACTCAAAGTACCTTAATTAAAATTATATTTATATTTTATTGGGCCTTTTCTTAAAACTGGGAAGGAAAAATAAAATTTATTTATTTACTTTTCTGTATAACATGTTAATCACATATAAAATGTGAAACTCTCATCAATTTACTTCAAAACTTTGTTCACATTGAAAACCTATTTCTGATATTTGAAAGGTATAAATATGGATTTGCGACCCCTGAACTTTCATAAAATATACTATGCGGCTCCGTTATGAAGTTTGGCCACTCCTGTTCTACACAAAGAATCAAAAGATTCAAAGATTTGCCGTAGTTATATTACTTCAAGAGCAATAGTTGCATTACAGTTAAGCTAGGCTAAAGCTTGATAATCTGTATTTGAAAATAGGTTGTGTGTAATTAACCCCTTGATTGACATTACTGCCATTATCCGGTCATGAGATCTTCCATTTTTGGTATATGTTAGTTTATAATTTAAAGTATTTTACTTTCTTTAAGATGCAAATATAATCTTTATGAAAACAGTTTTGAAAGCACAGATTATAATACATAATCCAAAAAGCTGTGCAACTCGGAGAATTATATTAACAAACATCATTTCCCCCCAGTCATCATATTCATAGGAATAATGGGGGGAAAAAAAACAGGGTTTAGTTTAACATCTTGTTTCTCAGTGTTTGCTTATCTGTTCTTTGAACCTGAGCATACTGCAAATAATATTTTTCATTTAATATTTATTGGAATTTATAGTTAGTTACAGGCGAACTCTGATTTAATTAACACCCAGTATAATGATATCAACTTTATGACTGCTTTTGTTGATTTAGCCTAAAAGATACAAAATTGATATAAAAATCATTGTGCAATAGTTTGTGTGTGTTTAAATTATGAAAGAATTTGCTGAATAGTAAGTTAATTTAGAAGTCAAACAACAAAAATCAGCGTTATATTTTCAAATTTTCTAGTTTCGATGGTTTTACCGAACCATCGAAACTAGTCCTGTGAAAATTAAAAAATATAATGCTGATTTTTGTTGTTTGACTTCTAAATTAACATTTGTTCGCCGTGTTATTGTATCTTAATAAATAGTAAGTATCGAATTAAAGCAATACACCATTTTAATGATTATTTTCAGTAGCTCCTAGGTGAATCCTATCTATATTCAGTTTACGTATTTTTGATTTTTTTTAATTGTGTTTTACGTTTTTGGCTTGTTGCTCTTTTGATTGTAGTTATGAAAGGAAAACTGTTTATTTCAGGGGTAATATGACATAAAATATGTCTGTAACACGCATCCTTGGTTTTTGGCAGTATGGACAGGAATGATCTCAATGTATCAGGTTGATCAGAGTAAGGCATGATCTAATTAAACAACTTCAAATGAAAAACAGTATATTTGTTGCATAAATTTAATCTCCATCATTTACTGCAAATTCCAGAAATCTTTTCAGGCAGCTTTTATATCCTTTTTCTTTTTGAAGAATTCTTTTGGTTTTGCCAACAAATTTATATTCATTTATTGTATTGTCAACCTCTTGTTTACTGTAGAAACTTTTGCCATAGGAAAAAAATCTCACAGTAACATAAATAGTTTATAATGTGAAGCTGTAATATCTACACTCTTAGTTGATGAGGAAGAACTTTGATGCTTTTGACATTCACAAATATCTATCTTGTTTAGTTAGCTTTTAAAATTGTAATATTTGAATTTTTCAGGTTTCTTTACTATTTCCATGGACAGATGGTGTTACCAATATGATCGTGGTGCTTCCCTTCTTTGCAGAAATTTCTTCCTCCTTTCAAAAAGAGACTTATTCATTCTTGAAAACAATAGAATTTTAATTCAAGGCTATGCCAAACATAATGTTGCTGCTTTGCTTGATTTTAAATTTTGCTTTGACGTGTTTCTCTTCTCTCTTGAAAAACTTTCTATTCGAATGAAAACAACAAGTTTTTTTTTTCCCCCCGAGTTATTCTTGCAGCATGTGATTTATTATTATCAATAATGACTATAAATGTTCTAACTTGTACTGAATTTTGCAAGAGCCAAACATTAAATTCTTACTAATGTTTTACTTTTTACAAAAACAAAATACAAATAATTTTATATGAAAAAATACATTTTGAAGCCACCCAAAAAACAGTATTTAAAAAATAAAATACGAATTTTCCTAGAATTTACATGTGTAACGTGTATACAAGCCAGTTCCCCTTAGAAAGTCCTCCACAAAGGCATCCCTCCCTTTAGGCAGATAGCTCTCGTATGCATTGCCATAATGTAATAATCCAGTTCAATCCTAGAATTTACATAAAAGAACAAGTAAATTCAGTTATGTAAATACATTTTGAAACCAAAAAATATTTAAATAAATAATAAAATATCAAATAAAATATAATAAATTTAAGTAAATAATTAAATATCAAGAAATTTCCCAGAACATAAAAGGACAAGTAAATTCAGTTATGTGGCAAAATTTACACCACAGTAGTTACCTTCTAAGGGATTCTAAGGCTGAGCCATGATTTTTCAAAAATAAAGAAAGTTTGTCCGTAAGGTTTAGGATTGAATTTTCTTAAAAGTTTCTTATATAAAGAAATTTTCATTAAATATGAAATATGTTGTATGGACAAACATCTTATGCAAATATTTTTCATGAAGCCGAAAGATTCTTGAAAAATATTTATGTGCACATATTAAAATATGTATATGCTAAAAATTATTATATATGAAAATATTTATGTGCTATATATTTATGTTTTGTTATTGAAATAGAAATTGTAAAGCTAACTAGTAATTTTTTCGTGCATTCGCATGTCTTCCAACAATAATTTTAACGTTTTTTTCGCGTGTTTACAGTTTTTTTACAGTATTCCAGATAAGTTTTTTTATAAAATACTTCTTAGTTCATATTTTAGTAATACAGCGTTGAACTATTTCATGGAGCTACAGCTCCTTTTAACTTTTTAGCAAGATCGCTGCAATGTTTCTACCTACTTTTATGTTTTGTTATTATATAAATATATGCTTCAATGCTACTTATAGAGATAGTCTTTAGTTTGTATAAAAACTGTAGCCTTTTTTACACAAAAAAATTTCATTGTGCTGTTTTGCCTTTAAAGCCAGCTCACTGAAATACTAAAAAATCATTAATTTTTGCTTCATGCTTTAATATGAAATGATTATAACAGACAAGATGTGTTTTTCTTATAATAAATAAGCAAGCAGCTTGCAAATTAGAGCTCTAAATAGAATTCATCGTTTAGCACTATCCTATTAAATGCAAGTTATTTTATGGTTAAAAGACTTGTTTCAAATTAGCTAAGTGATGACAATGGATGCTTGCATTAATGTTTTGGTTATTTTCCAAGTGTTCAAAATAAATCAGTACACATCTAAAGCAAAATCTTATTTGCGTGCAATCCTGGTTTTGCTGTGTCGCAAGGCAGTTTCCCTTGTGGGAACTGTCTTTCTTAAATAATAATAGCAAAACGAATGTAAATTTCATCTTCATTGTAGCGTCCTTAAGAAAAGCTCCACTTCAGTTTTTAGCACTACAGAAAAGCAAACTAAAATTTGATGCTGATGGTTTTTAATTTTGAGATTGTTGGGAATACTTAGTTGGGAATACTTAGTAAGTACCTGAAGACAAAAGAACATAGCTGGCTAAAAGTTCATGCATAGATCTTTGAGCTAATTATGAAAATTCTTGAAATATTTTTCCTTTATACTCATGAGCTAAATATTTAAAAATGCTATAACAAATTTATAAAATGTTTAACAGCAACTGTGTATTAGAAATTTTAGTTTGAAATAAGAATTAGAATTTGACTCTCTAATTTTTTTGGCCAGTATCTTTTTTTTTTTTTTTATTATTTTTTTATTTTTTTAAGGAAATATCAGATATGCATGCAGCCTAAACAAAAAAATAGACTTCTAACAAGTTCATATAAAACTCGAATGGCAGCCTGCAAAAAATCTTTCATATTAATTTTCAAATAATATGTGACTGCTGGTTCTGCACTTTAGGGCCTCTCCAATATATTTTTTCTGATGATATGTAGATTTGGCTTTGCCAGTATTTTCAGTTTATCATCTTCCAACTTCTGTGGCTTTAATTTTTAAGATGAGACTTGGAGATTAAGATTAGACTTGGAGATTAAAATTTCCATTTTGGAATTTCTTAAACCGTTTTTGGCATTGATATTCAAGCGTTGAACTTATGTATACTGAATTACTTCTGCAGGAGTTTCATTGTAGCAGAACTCATATGTTCATAAACGTATGATAAATAAGCATCTTGTAATATGACAAAATTTACTTAAGAGAAAATTAGTGAAATGTTATTCAATAGAATTGAATTGGTAAAGAATAGAATTGGGAAAGAAAGTGCATGATATCAAGCTTATATTAATCTCTAAAAATTTTAATTGCAATTTAACTTTTGTGTGATTCTGTGGACTTGAGTTTTGATAAACTAAAATCTTGTTTTACTTTAAAATCAACTTCATAAGTTTTAAAGGATGCAATGACTTAAAATAGTATAATGGACCTATATTAAAATATATGAGGTAGTTTTTGTGATGTTCTTGTGCATAATAATTTGCTGATTAGCCAATGAAATTTTCTTCATTACTGTTAAGATTTTGAATGCATTTTGAATATTTAGAGCTTATAACTACATATTTATTTATTTAATTTTTTTGTGTAAAATTATATCTAAACATATTTAGCAAATGATGTTATCTATTTTGTAAAATATTTATTAGAAGAAATTTGTTTTTAGTATATCTCCATATTTTGAAACAAATGTAAAATTTTTAATATCTAATGAGAATTTTTGAAATAGTCTGTGAATTTTGTATTTAATACTTCATAGCTGCTATTAGTAAAATATTTTTGCAAAAAATTCTTTGAACTTAAATCTTGAAATTTCTGATAAATAATTTGTTCTAAAAAGGCAACTTCAAATTGTTTGTTGTTTCCTCATTAGCATGTTAGACAAATAAAAGAAGCAGAAATGAAAAGACAGAAACTCATGGAAGAGTCTGTCCAGGTACTTTTTGTATATTCTTTCTTTTTTTAAATAAGTCATAGTATTTATACTTTTGTATAACTGTTGCAAGATGTCTAATTAGTTTGAATTACTTGTATTTTTTATCATAATAATATATATTTTGCATAGCACCTGCATCATATTTATGACTGTGGTGATGTTGTGTCCAGTTTTTTTTTCATTACAGATTTTTTTTTTTTCAGACTTCTGTGCTTGGAGATAAATGCCTAACTGAGGAAGATAATAGTCAGATTCCCTTGACAAAATGTTCAGGTATTTTAAAGGTGTGTAGATTGATTATTAACAGGAGTGTATTTCTCATGATATATATTTGATATGAAGGAGTAATTTATATAATACAGAAATGTTAAAAAATCTTAGATCTTAATAAATTTACATTTTAATAAGAAATGTTCACTAACCACAACTTTAAGACAAACAACTCTAAAAGTGATCGTTTTTCTGATGAACATAAACAAACATTTAAAATGGTAATTATAATAAATTACAGAATAGTTTCTGTGAAAGAACTATTCCATATCTAGTAAATACTATTAGCGTATTACTATGACAACCAAAAAGGTCTAATTTCACTAGTTGAACTGAAGTATGTCAATCGAAGAGTTATGTTTTCAGTTCTTTAAGTAACAAAGAATTTGGAGGTAGATGGTCTCATATCAAGAAAGAGGTGAATCAAAAGTGAAGGAGCTGAAGAAAGAAGTTTATAATTTGAAAAGTAAAACTGTTGGCTGTTAAGAATTTGCAATATACTTCCCCCTTTTCTAAAACAGATTTTCTGGCCTTACCATACTTTTGATTCTTTTATTTTTGTTGACCAAAATAAACACGATTTATAAATTGTTATATATTATTGGTTTATATATATATATATATATATATATATATATATATATATATATGTATGTATGTATAAACCAATAATAATACAATAATAATAGGAAGAAATATTATAGAGAGCTCGCTAAAAAATTACCAGGAGCAGTGGCTCCAAGAAATAGTTCAATCGTATTTGATGTGAAGACTTACTTAGTCGGAAGTTTAGTCAAACAGTATGAAAGAAGACATATAGTGCTTTTACAAAATATTTAAAATTTAATATTGAAATACACAGTATAAATATAATGTTTATATAATAGTTGCAAATCTAACATTTATATGTAATGAATGCAAGAATAAATATATATGATACTGACTATAGCATTATGCAATATAAATTGAATTTTCATTTTCTTAGTTATTTGTCTACTAGTCCTTTCCTGCCTCTCTCGAGGTTTGCAAGTTTTATTATGGAACCTTTAATTAAGTCTCTTGGGAGATAACTTGTCATAATTCTGTAACTTTATTACCATACATTGGTATATACAGTATATCTGCTTTTAATAATCTGTGAGCCCACCAGCGGCTGAGCGATAAAGTCGCTGAACACTCGTAGTTCGATCTGATTTTCCAATCCTGCGAACAGGCTGCCTGCACTGGTGTTTTTGTGGTTTACCCCATGTGTAACATGTATACGAGTCAGTTTCCTTAGAAAGTCCTCCACGAAGGCATCCCATCCCTCCCCTTAGGCAGATAGCCCTTGAAGCTTTGCCGTAATTAAATAACCTTTCACAAACCTTTCTAATAATCTGCATAGGCATCTTACATTTTTAGCTCTAAATCATTATAAGCTTTATGGAAATGCTGTATCTTGATAATATTTATTGAGAGAGGAATCTGTTTGAAGTCCTCTGAACTCCCTAATGTGTTGAAAAATATACCTGGATTTCTACCAAAGTCAACATCATCCCAGTTACGCTAAGCATTAATATTTCGATTTTTATGCACACTTTTAACAAAATCAAGAATTTCAACTTGAATTGTTAAAGAAATTCTCAGATTCCTTCTTTTGCTAATAAACTAGTGAAGTCATTAGTGTGTATATATATCCTTTCTCTAGTATATTGTCTTTGCTTTTTTATTTCTCTGATATTCATGTCTTGTTGTCTGTATAGAATTTAAATTTTTTTGTTGACTATTAGAAGCTATGGCAAACTGAATTTTTCTGCTCAAATCCATAGCAGCCTATGACATTCCTCGATGAGTCTCATTAAGGATACACAAAGTATTTGTAATGTAATTTGAGTTTTGCTTGTACGATTAACATACCATCTGGGAGAATTAAAAACGTTAGATTGAATCCATTACATAATTTGCTGCCATGTGTGATTATTTTAATTCCTTTTTTGCTGAGTATTTTTTTTTTTTTAGTCATATATGAGAACTTTACCAAGAGAGTATACCACTTAGAAAGTGCTTTTCAATATTTGTGGAATATTACCATCATGGAAACTATGATTTCCATTTTATATAATTGCTTCTTGGCATTTTTTTTCAAGATCTATTTTTATATTTGGTGCAAGAATCCCTGCTTTATTTGAAATTCAGATTTAAAATCATTTTATGACTTTTGATTATTGTCAAAAGAACACGTATCTGAACTTGGAGAAACAGAATGTATTCTTCACATTCTGTTTTATTGCCTCCATGCTTGACATCATGCTTGGCTGTTTCTGAACGTGTCCTTTTACAAAGTTCTTTTATTTATTTTTTTATTTTTAATGGCAGGTTACAAAGACAGCTGTAGACAGAACAAGCAATAAATCCATTTTGTGTACAGCCTCCTAGTATCTCTCCCAAAGTGATCCAGCATTAAGTACAGGGCAAAGTCTCAGATGTGAGGTATCCATTTCCTCATGAAGGTTGCACAATTTGCAAATTGGGGGGGGGGCCTTTTACAAAGTACATTAGAATTTTGTTTATGACAGAGAAATCTGTTAACTAATCTGCTGATGTTTCTTGTAAGGTATTCTGTGTGAAGAAGCCATGCTGATTTGGGATCCAAGAAAATGCCAAGATATTTTTTTTGATTCTCATAGTGGTTTTAAATCCTCATTGGAATGGAATCTTCTGTGGGAAATATTGTTGTAAATTTCTGTAAATATTTAAATTCTGTTAGTAATGCTTATAATGTGTATAATGTTTATAACTTATTTTTTTGTAATACTTTTCATGCTTGGTAGTTGCCATCACCAGTAGTCATCTGTTACTTGTAAATCTATCAAACTCGTAAATCAGGAAATTAGCAAGACAAATAATCTTTAAATGACAAAAATGTGCATTGTTTTTTAAAAATAGCAAGCTTAACTGTAAAGACTAATTTCTCTCTGAATGTATTCTAATTATTAGCTAATTAGTTTTCATTTAATTGTTAACTCAGGTGGCAGTATCATAACTTTGTTCATAGCAGTTGCCATGAAGGCCTGTTTTTGCAGATAAAAGTTTTTGCAGTGATTCAACATTAATAATTTTAATAACTGCAATAAAATATCCTTAAATAAATCAATAATCATTGAACACAAAAGTTAAATTAGTTGGGTTTTTCTCTGCGTAATTGTATTAAAAATGTCTAACGATGGCAGAAAGTTGTGTACAAAATAGTGAATTGCAAGGTCGGAAGACAAATTCGTAAATAATCATTAATAAGATAGATAACAGTAAGATTAGACCTACAGTAATTTGTTGAGCAATTGTTTTATTCCAAAAGAACTTGTACAGTACAAAGTCCAAGATCCAGAATCATGAAGACTTCAAGAAATCTGTATTTCAGAAATTTCTGGATCTTAGGTCATTTTAAATTTAGTAATATAACATGTTGAAATTATAGAACTAAAAATATGAAACAGCTGCTTATGCAATAATGAAACATCAATACGTTGCTATAAGGGAACAAAATTTACAAAACAAGCTCAATATTTGTTTTATTAAACATTTCTTTGAATGCAAATTATTTAAGCTTTTTTTTTTTTTTTTGCTGTTGATATTTTTTTCTTTAATTTTGTAGATACACATAATTTCTTGTTCAAAGTTCCATTGTTGAAGTCCTGTAATTGCCATGTCAAAAATCTCACTAAATTGTCAGTCGAAATCTTTTCACTCTCTAAAATTTTTGTCATTTTTGTCAATGATATCTTATGAATTTAAAACATGGTACTGATTTCACTGTCTATTAGTTGAGTGCTGATTGGAGCATTATCATTGCAATCGAAAATTTCTGGTGTATCTTTCTTATTTATTGTCAGTTCTGCACGATTCTTCACAAATTCCATTAATTGGAAAATTTAGGCTTTTATAAGCGTTCAAAATCTAAACCAAAAGAAAATTGTTGCTTTACTTAATATTGGAATTGCATATTTCTGAAGCCCAAATGGCACTAGTGTTTTTTTTCTTACATCGAGGCTGCTATTAAAGACAAGTACCAAAACGTGCTTTCACTTTGTAGATACTGTGTTCTATTCAGAATTTTAAAGTATTTCTGACATAATTAAAAAATGAAAGTCTAATTTTGATAAGTTGATTCTAATAATTATTGCCTGCAAAAATAATAAGCTGGATAAAATTAGTTAAGAAAGAACGGAATTTGCTATATTAACAGAACTTAATTTCCTTCAAATCTAATTCCTTCTCTTCCTGCTATTATGCCAATAAAAGAAAATCAATGTTAACAACATCACACTCCAAGCAAGTATATCTTAGGGCTTTGATTATTGTTTATGTGAGATTAACAATACTACCCCCTATCTGCATAATTACTCAAGGACTGAAAGTGTGGTTGTGGTTAAAACCAATCAATGTATTGTCTTTGGCAACAGTGGCATTTCTTTAGCCAGCAGCTGTTTCGTTCTCATTAGTTGGAAGAAAAATCACAGTTATGACACAGTTCTTTTCTGAATTGTTATATCATTCCTAAATCTTGAAAAAAAAAATTACTTGGGGTTTTAGCTATTTGATCATTTCAGTTATTGGACATCTGGATTTTAGACTTTGTACCATATAAACTTTATGCTTGGTGTATTATTCCAAGAATTGCCAGTTAAGACTAGAATGCTATCCGTTCATCTCCTGGACAAAGCCCGTAACAAATAACCATGTCTTGCCTTCCCTAAAACAGAAAATGGGATGTGCGATGCAGATCTGTTGTATGACCGTGACTATTACAGAAAAGGCCATTCCTAACCAAAATATTTCTGCACATGGCATTAATAGAATAATATTTGTCTTATAAATGAATGGTTAGCTGAAATGTTTACATTTCACAATCTGACTTAAGATATATTTCTATGTTGCCTTAAAGATGGCAAAGTGTTTTCATGGAGATAAATTTGGGGATAAACCTGAGGATATTCAAGATCCGTTAAAAGAACTAAGTGATGAAGAAAATTCTATTTCTGGAGATGAAATTCTGGAAAGATGATTTGTTGAAGTTAAAATTTACAATTTCACAGGTAGTGACAAACATGAAAATGAGGAATGGTCATTTTACAATAAAGGTGAAGAAGAAACAATATTTGAAAAACAAACCCAGGAAGACAAAAATCTGAAGTTGAAAAATTCCAAAATGTTTTGAGTCATCACAAATCTATTATTTACCCAAGCAAAATTCAGTTCAGTAGTAAAGACAAGTCAAAGTGGTCATCTGTTCCTAAATCAAGCAACACAAGGACACTATCTTGCAATATTATTAATATATTAAAGGACCAAAGGACTGAACCTCGCAAGGGACTGTAGACACATTGGATCAGATGTGCAACAGTATGTCATATAGCAGAAAAACTCGCTGATAGCTCCTTTGTGCATTTTATGGCATTGTAAGTATCAGTTTAGTGAATGCACATGTTACATATGTAGATAATATAGCGCAAAAATCCGAAAAGGCATTATCAAGAAAAACGTTCGCAGTAAAGCTGACTGAAAATGTTCTTGCTCCATGGAAGAAGAAGCATCTCAATGTACCAGCTTGGCCATGATCAACAAGAAAAATTATAAGGGAACTGTTTAAATTAGATTCTTGCTTAGTTGAAGTTCAAGAGTCATGAAATCATCTGCAGGTAGTATACTTTTATCTCCATCCTAGAGACGAAGGATTACCATTCCCATAAGTTTTCAAGAGGATAGCATACTTGAGATAATTTCCATGCTGCTGATGAAATAATTTTTTTTTCCCACACACTTCGTGTTAAGCATGGAAGTATTAGTTAACATCTTCATTTACATCAGGCCTTTTGAAATTTTTGATAACAGCCTTTTTTCTTAACTTTGAAAACATTTACTTCTACTGTAAAATGGCAAATAATGGCTTCTGTTGGTTGAGGATTCCAAATAAACATTTCCTCTAAAGATAAAGTATGAATGCATGTTTCAGAATTTTAAATATTTTAGTACTAAGCAGATATTGGAGTAATTTCACTTTTTCTGTTAGAACCCTTTTCAAGATAGATAAGGTTATCAATGGTGTATTCTATTTTATCTTGTACAGAAGCTGTACCGTTTTTCAGCTGGTAAATTTAAAAGGTCACAGGTACATGCCATGGACCACTTTTCAAGCCTATTATTACTGATTCATTGTCTCTGTTAAAGACTAAATAATAAGCCAGAGGAACTGTATTTACTTATAAAATTTTGATAATTAGCTGTTCAATATTAAAGGACTGTCATATTTCCTTCCAAATTGGGGACACTAAACTATATTGTATTTTCAAAACTTTGGTTTAAGAAGAAAGGAAACAATAATTGGATACACCTTTGCATTCATATTTTTGCTTCCATCTGTAGAAAGGCAATATAAAGGTATTTTAATGTCATCATCCCCTAGAGATTTATTTTTCATGCCAATTTCTTTAATGGTGGCAGTGTATTTTTTTTGCATATGGGTATTTCGTAGTGATATCACTGTAAGGAAACATTTTTGTAACTAAAGATGCAACATGAACAATGGCATTTGGTAGAAAATCGTGCTCCATTGAAGAGGCCAAGAATAGACTAATTGTAATGCAATTATTGTTGATCATAGGCATTACACATAACAAACATACTGCATTTCCTTGCTGCAATAATACTAGGAAAATCATCTGTATTTGATTTTTGTAAAGTAATATTTTACTTTTACTATAGGATTTCTTTTATGACAAAAGATCACAAACCCATAACAACTTCTCAAAGCATATGACACATGTTTTTTTTTAGCAACCACAGAATTTCAATTAACAGCACCAGTCTTCGCTTCGTGCTTTTTAGCTGGTGTTTACTAGATGATCTGCAGCTGTGCTTGATGCTCATTGGAGACTTGAAATGGGAGATTTACGACACATTTACTCTCAGACACATTGCTGTATACTGTCACTGATAATTTTTTGTGTCTTGTGCAGAAAATTTTTATAATTTGGACATGTTCAATAGTAAGCCAAGCTACATAAAGTTATGAAAAATTTTAGAAATAAAAGAAAATGAGGAGAAAATTATTAAAAATTGTGTTGACTGAGGTACTGGTGAAAATTGGAAGTCTTCCACCCAAACTGGGAATGTTGGCAAATATGTCATCTTTTTGTTGGTGATGTCCCTTTAAGGCCAGATTCATCAGGAGCTGTATATTATAATCTTAGGGTTCACTGTAGTTAAGTTTTTTAAATATGTTTTTTAAGTATACTGGGCATTATTTCATAAATCAATTTTTAATAATCTCAGATGAAATATATTTTAAAATTAAAGGCAAAAATGTGCTATTTGAAACTATAAATTTTACATATGATTAGCAACATCTTATAAAATTCTCTACATAGTGAAGGTAATGTTAACAGAATTTCGTATGTAGTGTGTAGGATATTGTTTTTTATAGAAAATATATCTTTGTTTAATTTGATTGTGTAAATTTTCAGCCAAATAAAAACACTGAACATGCAATAGACAAAATTCCACCTTGGCTACAGGGGAGACCTGATACCGAAGAAATGCCATCGTGTTCAACTGTTATTGGACCCACAATGGATACTTACTTGAAACATGGTTAGGGTAATCCACATTTATTTTTCCACTATCATTTTTCTTTCTTTATAGTTAACATTTTGACGTGCAGCTAACTAATGTTAATTTTGCCTTAAAATATAAACAGTATTGTCTGTATTTATTTAAATTCTAAAAGGAATTACAGTATGTGTATAAAACTAGAACTTTTTATTATGTGTTGGAGAATTAAATTTTACTGCCATGTAGTCGCTTTTTGAAAGCTAATAAGCTTCGATATAAATTTATTTATTCATTTATTTTTAATGTTGCATATCTCAAATAAGGAAAAATTAAAAGTTTTGTGGTTTGTCATCCTAACAATTTTTATTTACTAAATTTTTTAGGAGGAATGAAAATTCTTCCCGTAATTTAGTAACCTGCTTTATATTTGGTTATTATTCTATGTATCTTACCCTATTTAAAATTACTTTTCCTTAATGTGAGGAGAATTTTGACTATGCATATCATTTTGCTATGAATTTATAGTTCTTTTAGTCATACTTTGCGTTTCATTTATTTATTTAATTTCTATCTGTGGAATGTTATACATGCTGAGAGTAAAGATTTGATTGCTTTTCTTATACTATTTGTTGTTAGTTATTGATTTGATTTATTTAAATTAATGCAAAAATTTGTCTAGGCTATATGATTAAGATTTAAGGCTGTGCCTTAAACGAAACGAAACAGATTAGATATTTTTAACTAAAAAAAAGAAATAAGAATGTGTACCCTATAAGCTATTTCATGAACTCGCAATAACTCTTTCAGTTTGCTTGATTTATTTAGCTTAAAGCAAAAGCCCATTTCCTTTGTGGAAATGTAAATTAACTGATATTTAAAATTAGCCAAAAAAGAAACCATTGTTTGTCATAGATTTTTTAATAAAACTCTATCAGTTTCAAAATTAATTGTCTGTGTTCTGGGGGGGGAAGATATTTAAAACTAGTCTAAAAAGATACCATAGTTTGTCATAGATTTTTTTAAAAATAAAACTTATTAATTTCAAGGTTAATTGTCTCTGTTCTTGAGGGGTGTGAGAAAATTTACAAAAAATTGTGTGGAAAAGCTCTTTATCACATTTTGAAAATACTGAAATGCCATTTTTTCCTACCCAGTTAGGGATAGGCAAATTCTTGTTTTCATCTTCCTCTTCATTATCCTTTGCTAAACCAGTATGGCCAAAACTTATTGATTCTGAAATATGTTTCTATCACTAGCATCAAGAAACTAAACATTGTAATCTACATGTTTGTCGTGCTTCTTTAAAATGCATTAAGCGAATTACTTTTTCTGTAAGCGCACTTCAAGCAGCTGATCGTGCTTTGGTTTGTAGCTTGCTAGACAGAAGTCATATTCAGAGCAAGACTCAATGCATTCTAAAATTTTTTATCTGTTTGGGAAGAATGTTTATCATTTAAGAAGAGAAGCTTCCCCCCATGAGTCATTGACTCATTCATGCTTTAAAAAGAAACAAAATTTTCACATTTTTGTCTTCTGAGATTTTCCAGTCACCTGTAGCTTGTGACTAATCATTATTATTCATCTTGACATACACAAGAACTGATTTGCTCTTTGAGCAATTTTTCATCACTACATCTTTTGTGTTTTAATTTCTTTGGTGTTTAAATTCAGTTTCATGAATCGAGCATTCAAAAAAGGTTAAAGAAAACAAGTATCTTTTAGTGTTTAAGCTTAGAAAACAACACTACCTAAAGTATTTGGCAAGTTCATTGGACTTTTTCTAAGGTATGCATCTAGTTATTGGCTGACTGTGGCTTCCATGAATTGTGAACCAGTTCAGCAGTGCTTCTTTAGTGTTCTTATGCTTGACCATTTAAAATTTTTTCCTTGTGTCCAGAGATTTTCATGAACAGAAATTACCGAATCTAGAATTTTTTTATATGGCATCTACTGTACATTGGGATGTACTATGTTCCTGGCACCTATCAACTTGGTTACATCCATTTTGTATGTTTTTAATAATGCTCAACTTTACCTTCAATGTAGAATGCTTTACATCTCACTTCATAGATAAATTTTTGGTGCAGAACATTTTCGCCAGTACAGAATGAAGAGGGTTGTGTCAAAGAATATGCAGAGTTTTACCCAATTTCAAAAATAATAAAAGGAGTATAATTTTGTCACTTATCTATTCTATGCTGTGTCTGACAAGAGTACCATCTTCCCTATGTTATGTATGAATGCAAAGTGAAGGTAATAAATTGGCAACTCATTGGCAAGTTTGTGAACTGGCCAAAAAAAAGAAAAAGCTTCTTTGTCTACCTTTACGATTCATAGATGCTGGTCTCTTTCAATAATACATCCAGTTCCCCAATGTTTTTACATTCTTCTTTTTCCATACAGAACATGCATGGTTATCTGAGGTAATAACATTGGTTAACACTTATGTAGGGTGACCAACCCAATTCTTATCAGAATTTGAATTGACAAATACAGGAGTTGTTCTCACACTTTTAGACAACTTTGCTTTGTTATAAAAAAAATCGCCTGCTTGAAAAATTTTTTAGCTGCAACTATATTTTCCAAAGCGTAAATTATTGTCTGGTACTTCTCAATTTTGTGTTCATGCAAAATGGCACTTTTAAAGAAGCAGTGAACAGAAGACTATATTTGTGCTCTTTCCAAAGAAAATTATTCATATTTAGTTATTGAAAAAAATGCTCCGAAAGCTATGGTTTTTTGGTATCTAAGCAATGAAAGATAATGTTATCAATAAGAAAGGGGGGGGAATGTTTGGCTTCAAGGAGAAAAATTGTTCAAAATACATATACAAGGAAAGAATGGAATGTTTCGAATGTTGCAGAGGTAAGAATCTTAATATTATAAACAAAAATTTGCGAAAGTCAAAGGACAGTTGCATAATCAAAGAGAAGAAAAAATTTTTATAATATGACTTAAAAAATCTAAAGTAAGTTTTTCAAAAGGATTTATGATTGTTGCTGGTTTTTGATATAACGACAAAGAAATATTAAACAAAGTGCAGAAAACTGTTAAGGTGAACTCCACATATTATCAGAAACATATTTTATACCCAATTTTTCAAATATGAAATTGCTTTTCTTTACCCAGTGCCATCAATTAGGGTAAAACTGTTTCAAGACAAAGGAAGCAGGCGTCAAAATCTACTGTTAATTTCCTGGAAAAAATGAAACAAGAAACATGTATCGAGGATATATCTTTCCTTCACATATATGCCTGGGAAATCTGATATATCACCCATGGATTTTTGCACTTTAGGAGTTTTCAAAAGCAAATTATCCAAACGTTGATCTGCAACCGTCCCTGGACTTGGAAAGCTGTTCAAGAGGAATGGGATAAAATACTTCTTTCGATACTACAGAAGACTATTGTCTTGGAAGTTGTGGTATAGAAAGATAGTGAAGATTAAAAAGTTATCAAATAGAACATTTAAAACACAAAAACTTTAGGTAAAATATTTCTGTAAATGCAATGAAAATCATCCCTCCCCCCAAAAAAGTGTGCAAACAGCCTCTGTATTCCTTTGCCCAACAGTAAATAAAGTGAATAATTGCTGTAAATGAGATGTGACAGTCTCAAAACCAGTTTCTGACTGGCATTTTAACACTTTGCTTGCGGTCTTTAACATCGCACTTCCATAAATTTAGTCTTTTAGAAAGTACGTCCTCATTCCAAATTTTTATGCTCTCTTTTGTTGAACAAAGTACCATATTTTTGAAGAAATCAAATGCTTTCTTTCACATCAGTTGGGGAAAAAGTACATTAATTAGCAAAATGACATTAAACTTAAAATGTATAAATTCAGGTCTACTTAAGCAGATGTTGAACACATGTGTCATGTGTTGGTATATATACTTGAAAATGCTCCCAAATTTCCTATTTCTACTAAATACTAAAATGGGGCTTGAAGATAATCAAAATGTATCCGTAAAACACGTAAAAGATCTTTCAGAAGACAGAATCTGGAAAGTATTTTTAATAGTGGAATACAACAAGCCTTTAAGAATAAGAAATTTCCATCCTTTAAAACAAGAGTCAGCAAACGTTTTAAAAAAAGGGCCAGCTTGTAAACGCTTTAGGCTCAGCAGGGCAAATAATGAACATGAAAATATGAATAGACAATTTTCTCATAGAAGAGGGATGGGTACATTCATCATGTTTTAATTGTGAAGTGATACTTTTGCAAGAAATTTATACAGATCGTACTAATATTTACTGAAGAAAAAGTATAGAAGATTTGCATGTACACATTAAAGACATTATTGCTAAATAAATTAAAATTTCTAATGCAAAGAGTTTTTTTTTTTTTTTTTTTTTTGTAATAATCTTTCATAATACTGAAGTTCAAATTTCCTACCATTAAAGTTGTTTGCAAAATGGTTATCTGTTAATGTTGTGAATTGTTATCTTACGTATTTCATTTTCAAAAATGTCCTTTCTCATTGGTAAGCACTCCCAGATGCGAATATCCATACCTATGGATTGATTTTAATTAAGTGTATTTATCTTCCAAAATTATTATTTATAAAACTGGCTTGAATCCTTAAGCATCATTTATATCATTATAGCATCATTTATATCATCGTTTTGCAAATCAGTCATTTCCATTTGAAGATTTGATAGTAGCCCCTCAGTTATACAATCAAACGAGTTTTGAAACATGGACATACCTTTTGCACTTGCGTCAAGATAGAGAGAGAGAAAAAAAAAAAAAAAAAAAGCTGTTATAACTAAATTCAGTGCAGAAAATATATCCTGTGCTAATTTTTTGGGAAATGGGGATTTCACTAATTTTTTTTTATAGCATGGAAAATGGTCAAATTTGTTTAACATTATTTGCATTTCAAGTAATGCAAACTTTCAGCAATATGTCTTTATGATAGAATACGTTTCATATGAGTAGTTTTCTCTGTAATTTTAAGCAGAATGGAGATAACCCACGACACCTGTGGCAATTGTTAGTTTCCATAGCCATTCGCTGTTCAATAATAAAGATTGTAGGCAATTTTTCTCATTTAAAAAAATGACTTCTCTCAATTTGGAGAATCTCAACAAAACTTTCCCATTGCTGAACTATCGAACAGCTGTATGATAAGGCAAGTCAGGATATTCAGCTTCAATCTCTAATAAAAATTCATAAAACTGGCAGTGGTAAAGTTGGTGAGTCGAATGATATAACTGTTATGCCCAACTGCTGGTGTTTACTCAGAGGGTCAATGCTGAATTTGAAGTGATTGAAGAATAAGTTTGTATGAATAGCCTGTTTGGAAAAATTACAGGTGGAGAAAATATAGGTACTGCTTAAAGGAAGTTGAGAAAGTGAGATCTCAGCACATGAGAATAAATAAAGTTTACTACTGGTACAATTGGTTCACACCACAGACTGAAGTGTTTCCAGAGAGAGGTTACTGTTGAATATGATGAACTACCAGATGTTTTAAACATTTAATATCTTCACAGGACTTAAACATTTGTCCAACTGATCCTTTGCCCATTCCACACATATTTTTTCCACCATCAGTTGTACCACATTTTAACAGATTCCATAGAAAATTGTATTGTGTTAGCATTTTCTCTACTTCCTTGAAGAAGTACGTGTATTTTTTCCATGCATTCGTAGAAACTTATTCTTCAATCACTTCAAAATTCAGCATTGACCCTATGAATAAACACCAGCAGTTGTGCATATCAGTTATATCATTTGACTCATCAAGAGCCAATGAATAACAGAAATTTTTTGCTCTGTCTTTTAATGACTCTCATCAAAAGACTGACAGATTAAAACATCCTTTTTGGACATATTTCTTAGGCTGCCACAAGCAAGTATGATTTCATTAATTCACCATCTGTAAATGGTTTTCCTTTCATGGTTAATAAATAAGCTGTTTGTAAGCTGACTTAAGTTACTGCATCATCATAATTTTTTAATTTTTATGATTAAATTGCATTGTGATGACACATTCAGTTTTAAACTTTCCAATTTTAATGATTGTTCATTTTCTGTGAGGTTTGAATACTGTTTTGCATATTGTTGCATACTGTTTGAATACTGTTTAGTTTGGTAATGATGACATGTACTGTACTTTTTTTGACATATAGTATGTCATTACATATCAAATATAAAACTTTATCATTTAGTTCTGTGACAAAATAATTGGCACTCCAATCTGATTTAAAAGTTTGACATTCAAAGTGTCCTTTTCTCTTCCTATCTGATTTTTAGAGTGACATGGCAATTTTAATTAATGTATAAAATAAAAAAGTATCATAGAGTACCTTGACAGACGGTACTGTCAACATATTCATGCGGCATTGCATGCCACATGAAGTCTTTTGTCTTTGTCTGTTGAGAATGCTTTTAAAAAGATGACAAGTGAGAAACTATGACAGTAGCTCCTCTCAGGGGCATTACTCGCAACTTTTCAATTCAGCTATCGGCTGTTGCATAATAGTGCATAATTTGATTTATTTTTCATGTAAAAAACAATATCATGCCTTGGGCTAGATTTGACCTGCAAGCCATAGTTTGCTGACTCCTGCCTTCAAAAGATCACTCTTATAATCTCGTGCATATTCACTCATTCTTTCTTTTTGAATAGCAAAAATTAGCATCAGCCTTGAACATAACTCTGTTTTACAGCCATGTCAGAAAATTTGAGTGTAATCCTATTCAAGATTGTTGTGACAATGGCCACTGCATGATATTATATGTGTCTCCCAAGATATATTTATTATATATTCTGGTTTTCCAAGAATTCAGTGTTACATTTTCCTCACCTCACATAGCTTTTATTAAGAAGACGGAGGGGTGAAAAGATAAAAGAACAATAATATAAAGGTTTTTAACCACCTTATGATCTGAAAAATTGATAATGGTTTAATATTTTTTATTTAAACTTGAAGTTCTTTAAAAAAATTATGAAAAATTTGGGGGGGGCAGGATTAAGTTGAAAATAAATATAAAGTTATATGTTTGAAGATTCTTGCAGCTGCATAAAATGACATTAAATCATGTCAGAAATTGGATAGAACCATAATGTTCATTCATTATAACTAGGTGTTTATTTTGAACCAGGATCTGTAAAACAGGGTTCGATTGTGTTTATGGTCTGCTGTTATACACTGAAGAGCACAAAACATAGTACATGACTGGAAACAGGTTGTACCAAATGTCTAAGCAGCAGTCACGTAAAGTCGAGATATTCATACATGGTGGCATTTTAGCTCTGTGCTGCCCTCCATGACATCTTAAATGTGCTCTGTCATTTTAAGATCTGGCAAGTTAGGTAGCCAAGACATTAATTGGAATTCATCCTTATGCTCCTTGAACCACTCCAACACAATTTGAACCTTGTGACATGGCACATTGTTTGCTGGAAGATTCCATTTCGACTTAAAAGAGAAATTCCATGTAATGCCAAGAGAAATGTGCAATTGATCTGCATTTGCATTCAAATAGCCCACAGATTTCATGCCCAGTTGTAACACAACTATGGGTCCCAGAGTCACGCATGAGAACATCCCCCAAATCATAGTACTGCCTTCACCAGCCTGTGTATGACTTGCTTTACAAGGGGGAGCAACTGTTTGCCTGGAAGACAGTGTACCCTGACACAATCATTGATGTGATAAATGAGAAATTGTGATTCATCCGACCAAGCAACTGTCTTCCACTTATCCACGGTCAAGTCTTGATGTTCCTGGGCCCACTGTAAGCATACTTGAGAATGACGCTTGGTCAAAAGAAGCATGCAAGTGGAATGTTTGCTGTGCAGTTCCATATCCAATAATGTGTGCCGAATTGTGTGTTGTAAAAACCCTTTCAATTGGACCTGCACTGTATTAGGCTGTCAGCTGAGCCTCTGTCTGGCACCAGTTTAACTCTACCCAGCAGGACAGTCTTAGACATACATTTTCTTTAATGATGTGTGGATATCCCACACCTTGGCATATACCGCTGGTTTCACTGTCATTTATGCATTTTGCATAAATACTAAACACCTACAAGATGAGCAACCTACCAAATGTGCAGTTTCGAAAATACTCGCTCCGAGTCTTCGGGCCATTACAATCTGCCCTCTATCAAATTTGCTTGTATCAGCAGTCTTTCCCGTCACTTGCATAAGTAATGAATCCTTACCTTTTCTAGCAGCAGTTAAGTACCATTCCCACGTCATCACATGCCCTTAATGTCATCCAGACGAGTTCATTGAAAAATGTGCGTATGGTTATAATGTTGTGTCTCGTTAGTGTAGATACAAATATTTCACAATTCAGAATGTGTTGAATAAAAGGATCTTTTTCTTTGCTCTCAAGAAATAGGAGTTGCCTTAATTTTGAAATATTTTATATCAATTATTGAAAAGTAAAGCTGTCTTTGTTTTTAACTTTATTGTTAATTATTAGTATTTTTTTGGCTACTTTTGACTGTTGCTTATATTTTTTTTTTATTTTTCTAGTTTCAGATCAAAAGAAGAAAACGTTACCTGCAAATCGCATTGGAGCAAAATTCAAGCATGATGTCAAAAGGTCTTCCAGGTGGTTACCTTTTTTTGGTGGCGTTTGGAACCAAGGAAGGCATAACCGATATAAGAAACATAATCAATAACAGTTGCATCTTTTTGAAGAGGTAATTATAAGATGTATGTTGCTGAGTAATATTCTTAGGTAGAACTGTAAAGTTTATTGTTCGTTTATTCTTTTCCAAACCTTTGGTTTTTTAATCCAGCCATTACCAGAATGCAAATTAGGCTGATGTAAATAGCATGTGAATTTATGAATTAGCCATTGAGAGAGAATTGTGGTAAATTGGTAGAAGGCTGTTTATTCTTAAATATCTGTCTCTGTACCAATCTGCATCCTTGTGAATGATTTTGGGTATGTTATTTCCCAGGTTAGAAGTCATGGTAATTATAGCATGAATAGTTAGGCACTGAAAGTTAACTGCTATATTGTGCTCATTTAAATCTGGATTACTGACCCACCACAAGTACTGTTGTTTGAGTTATATTACAAGACTTTTAATAAACTTCTTAGACAGCTGATTTCTTGCTAAGAATTCAAATTAAGCTTGAAGACAAGAATTTATGTGAAGCACAGGAAGACAAAACAGCTGAAGTTTAATAGATTAAATAAGAGTAACTTAATACCTAACTAGGCTTAATCGTATAGTTTGAACTTTGCATATAATGGTGTAAAGTTAGAACTGATTGATAAATTATTTGCAGTAAACTAGTAATATTTAAACAAAATACATAAGGTAACAGAATAAGGGCAGAAGAATGTTTTGTTTTTAATATCCCAAGATTGAATAGCCATTTCTGTAGAACCAAGCATAAATCAAATTATGAGTGTGTAACATGTTCGCTGCTGATCACATGCTAGCACATGATGTGGCATTATCGCTGAAGAGCGAATCACCACACTGGCACATTGTGTAGATTTATGTCTCAGGTGCCACTCACGTGCTGAAATGGGAAGAGCTATGTTTCAGTGTTTATTCTCCGTTTCAGTTGTCATATATTTTGAGTATGTATGCTGGTGTTGGCATGGGGTGAGGGTTAGGAACTAGTTGTAAATACGTGTGGTTTCAAATTAACTGCTTTATTACTTATAGTAAAAATAATTTTGTAACATGAGTTGTACAGCTGATAGTTTTGTAGGGCCTTCACATCAAAAGAAAAGTGCAATATAAAAAGTCTCTAGCAGCCTACAAAATTGTGAATTTGTTTGCTGAGCTGCCAGATTATTATCTAACTGATTTTAATTATGATGTTGACAGTGACGAGGAATTCTTTCCTCCCAAAAGTGCCCATAATATTTCAAGTTCGGAAGTTGAAGATGAACATCCCGTGTAAGGGGTGACGTCAACAGTGGAATTCCATTGTGGTAGAAAATATAATGTAGAAAAAGGACTTAACATCCATGAAATAATTTTCTTTCACAGAATTTGAGTGTTTGCTGAAACCTGCTTCAGATACCAATCCTATATATTACTTTCATCCCCTTTTTTACTGATAATATTTTTGATGAAATATTCGCTGAAACCTGTGACTATATTTGTAAAATATTTTGTAGTTGTGAAAAAAGAGATGTTCTCGAATTAATGCTTGGTAGCATGCCATAAAATATGAACTATTGGTATTTATGAACTTAATTTTACTTATGGGAACCGTACGAATGAACCACATTCAAGATTATTGGAAAACAGATACCGTCTTTTACTTGGATAGTACGAGTAGGGGAATCAGTTTTTGTTATTACTGGCAGGGATGTCTTGAGACTTCTTGAGGCCATGGGCACCTATGCAAAAGTAGGCCCCACCTGCATCCCTTTTATTTCATTATTTCATTATTTAAAGTAACGGTTTAATAAAAGTAATCCATAATAAAATGAAGATTTATTAGAAAATTCATTTTGTACATTTTAAATTCGCAAAATGATTAATTATCTCTTCAAAATCCACTGTTAATAATATCATATATACTCGTCAACTTAAATTATTCAAATGAGATTCAGAAATGACTAATTTCAATAATAACATTTGGGCAGAACTGTTGTGTCTTGAACTTATGCAGAAATTTTAAATAATAATTAATATTGTTTTATTTGTTTTTTTGTTGTTTTTGGAATAACAACAAAAACATTATTCAATTTTGTTGTTCTAAGAATTGTTTATATTTGCTAAGAACTTTAATAAAGATGACTTTTGAATTAAAAAATGTGGAATAAAGTTATTTGAAGAAGCAGAGTTCTAATTATAAAGATGAATTTGGAGTGAGGAGCCTGTAACTGATGACTTGGAATTTTTATTTTAAAATGACTATATCTGAAGACAAAACTATCGAAAATACTGCAGATGAACTGTGTAACACGAACTGTGTTAAAATTCCACCATTTTGGGTTTGATCACTCAGAAATCTTTTTTTTTCCAAGTTGAGGCTCAGTTTAAGATAAATGGACTTGTTTCAGAAGAAAGCAAATTTTACTACTTAGTATAACAGTTAGAACTCAAATATGTTGAAAACATCTGGGATATCGTAACAAGTAATTCCGCTACTAAATATTCAGAATTCAAAACAAGTCTTCTGGATTTATTTAAGGAAAGTGAAAGTACTCGAATTAAAAAACTTCTTACAGGAATCGATTTAAGCAACTTGAAACCCCGTCAATTATTACAAAAATTAAAATCTGTTACAACATCGGATGTGTCGGAAAAGTTAATCAAACGTTATGGTTGGAGAAATTGGCAGATTATATGCATTATATAATACTTGTTAGCGACGAAGAATTACCCAAGTTGGTGATCATAGTTGATAAAATTTCATATATGACACCTTCTAATCAGATTTGTGGTGTATCAACAGCTAGTAATTGCTCAACTACATGAAAATTCAATCCATTGAACAGCGAATTGCCGAAATGACTGTTATCATATCTCAACACCACAATTTAGGAACAACTCTCAGTCTCACAGACATTCTCGCAGTACTTCTAAGAAAAGATTCAATCCTAAAGGAAAATATTTTTTTTAATCATTCCTGTTTTGGTAACAAATGTCATCAGGATAAATGTACTCAGCCGTGCAGTTGGTCGACTGATAGGTCAGCCAAACAGGGAAATGACAATGTGCAGTAGAGGAGGCGGTAAGCTCTACTGTCAATAATGTTCCTGACTGTCTCCAATTTCACGTATTTATCAGAGATAAAAAAATCGAAAGTGCATTTCTTAATGGATAGTGGTGCAGATGGTAGCATTTTATCCGCGTCAACACAAGATGAAAATTCTGCGGATTTCAGGTTGTATGCTGCGAATGGTACTGAAATTGAAACATGTGGTATAAAAATGTTAACACTTGATTCAGGACCAAAGCATTGTATTCTAACTGGATTTCAAGATTTGTTACGCCATGTCACTTAGTCACAGGTCGTTGAGTACAGTTCAGTTCAGAGTTGTTCAACAACTTATCAAAAATGTGTGGAATAAAATTGCAACATACAATGGTTTACCATCCCCAAGCAAATGGGAAGGTCGAGCGCCTCTATAAATTTCTCAAGGTCGCACTTATGGCACACAATAGCCTGGCCTGGAGTGAAATACTTCCAACTATTCTTGGTTTTTGCACAGCTACACAGAAAGACTGTTCATACACCATTGCTCAAATGTTTTATGAATAAAATATACGATTACCTAGTGAATTTTTCCGAGATAGCACAACTCCTACACCACCTGATATTTTTGTTAAGCAGCTCAAAAAATTATGGAACAAATTGGACCAAGAACAGTGTCCGATAAATATGTCCAAAAATATTCATCCGTAAAGACATGAAACAACATCACATGTGTTTATTCGCAAAGTTAAAGTTAAAAGATCTTTCAAAGTACGTACTCAGGAAGATCTCTATCGTCGTATTTCTCATAGGTCTTGGAAGATTGCTATCCTGAACTTGTGTAATAGCCCAAGGCGTAGAATGGTCGCTGCCTACAATATGACTGCCTACAATATCATCTTCATAGATTCAAAATTATTCCTTCTCCAATATGCACTCTGTGCAGCTCTGGAGAGGTGATGGATGCCGCACATTTACCCCACTGTCCTGCTCTGCGCAAGACATTTCTTGTCGAGCGTTACTGGGAGGCAAGAGATATGTTAGATTAATGGACTCTGTTACAGCAGTTTTTTTCATTGTATTGCTGTATTCTATGTTCTTTGTTCTTGTTTTTTTGCTGTAACTGTTCATAATCTGCTATTAAAAAAAAAGTTAAAAAGGAATTTAAACCTCCTTACGATGGTCCTTTTCAAGTGGTTGACAGAAAAGAAAAATATTTTACGGTAAAAATCAATCCTAAAGATGTTACAGAGTCTATTGATGGATTAAAGCCTGCATATATCTTGCAAATACCAGGCATTACTATGAATCAATCAACAATGTCAATAAGACAACCTGTCAAACCTCCAACAGACTTACCTTCTAAGAATTAAAAAGCTTTCTGTATAACAAAACAGTCATGTAAAGGACGAACAATAAAACCCTCTGTGTGATTTCGGGATTAGCATTTACGTATATCTAATATTTTTTTGTAAGTAGTGCATTTTAAAGGTAATAATATGCTTTACCATAACTAAGTTACTGGGAAGGGAGTACTGGTGTGGCTTGAACGTATGCAGAAATTTTAAATAATGATTAGTATTGTTTTATTTGTTTTTTGTTGCTTTTGGAATGGCAACAAAAAGATTATTCAGTTTTGTTGTTCTAAGACTTGTTTATATCTGCTAAGAACTTTAATAAAGATTATTTAAAAAATGTGGATTAATGTTATTTAAAGAAACAGAAAAAATGCCCATCGAATTTGAAGATGGTTCCATATGCCCGATGTAAAAAAAAAAAAAAAAAGGAGAAAAGCTGGAGTCTAAGAACTACAGCTTTCTATATGGTATTCTCAAGCATTCTATCAGAACTGTTAGCTGCTTTTGCAGTAATAATAATTGGAGAATACCAGTGTGAATTCCAAAAGGGTGAATTTTTCGGCTGAACTGCCAGATTATATTAGTACTACTACTGACCAAATACAGTAAATAATAATTAAAAAAATAATAATAATAAAAAAAGAAATGATATAGATACTTAT